CCCTTCCTCAGAGCAGAGGAAGGGTCACTCAACCTGAAACATTACCTCTGATTTCTATCCACAGATGCTGCCAGACCTGCTGAGCTTTTCCAGCAGTTTCTATTTTTGCCTCTGATTTACAGCATCCGCAGTTCTTTTGGTTTTTATATTCTGATTTGACGTTCGCATACTTGAGTTTTAAAAGTGTAAAAAGTCAGAAATCACTCAACGCCAGGTTACAGTCCAACATGTTTATTTGAAAACACAACCTTTCGGAGCCTCACTCCTCCTTCAGGTGTTAGTGAGAGAGATAATATCAGACACAGAATTTATAAATAAAAGATCAAAGGGTCACACCACTGATCAGGATGTATTAAACAAACCTGAGATGCTGTTAAATCTCCAATTTTTGTTAGAAGGTTTAAATTGATTAACATGTATGTGTAAATCCCTGAAGTCTTTACAAGTCTCTGTCCTGACGGAACTAAAGGTTTTATCAGTGTAAAGAATAGATGACATTCTAGGTCAGACAATGCATGTTAGGTGTAAGGCCTTGTTTAGAATCTGTTTGTGTTTTGGTTTGGAGTCAGACAGGCTTTATTTCTAAAGTACGAATTTATATTATGCTTCATTGACTGATTATCTATAAATTGTGTGCTTTTGAACAAAATAGAATGTATCTGCAAATACAAATTCACCCCATACATTCACATGAGTGTTTGTGTCTGTGTGTATGTGCATGTGAAGGGGGAAGAGAGAGAGAGTGTATGTGTGCGTGTGCGTGTGCGTGTGTGTGTGCATGTGTGCGTGTGCGTGTGTGTGTGCGCGCGCGTGTGGGAGAGAGTGTGTGCGCGTGCATGTGTGGGAGAGAGTGTGCACGCAATAACGAGCAAGAGAGCGCGTGTGTGAGCATGCGCGAGAGAGTGTGTGCGCGCGAGAGAGAGGTGTGTGTGCATGCAAGAGAGTGCATGCGTGAGTGAGAGAGAAGTTGTGTGTGCATGCAAGAGAGTGCGTGCGTTCACGCGAGGGAGAGCGTGTGTGCATGAAAGGCAGAGTTAGTGTGTGTGACTGCATGAGAGAGTGTTTGTGCATGGGTGTGTGTGCGAGAGAGAGAATGTGTTTGTGCATGAGAGAGGGTGTGTGAGAGTATGTTTGCGTGTGCGTGCGTGTGTGTGAGAGAGAATGTGTTTGTGCGTGTGAGTGTGTGCGAGTGTGCATGAGAGAGATTGTGTGCGCATGCACAAGAGACTGTGTGCACGTGTGTGAGAGAAAGTGCGTGCACATGCGCGCGAAAGAATGTGTGCACACGAGAGTGAGTGTATGTGCGCGTGCACGCGAGAGGGACAGTGTGTGTGCGTGCGTGCAAGAGTGTGTGTGTCTGTGCGTGTGCGCGCAAGGAAGTGTGTGTCTGTGCATATGCAAGAGTGTGTGTGCACGTGCGAGGGAGAGTGTGTGTGTGCGCACGCACACATGTGAGAGAGAGCAAGAGAGCTTGTGTGTGCGCGTGAGAGAGAGTGTGTGTGTGTGCACAAGAGCGAGTGTGTGTGTGCGTGCGTGAGAGAGTGAGATTGTACATGCATAAGAGAGAGTCTGTGTGCGCAGTGCAAGAGAGCATGTGTGTGTGCATGAGAGTGAGATTGTATGTGTGCGTGCATGCGCGAGTGTGTGTGTGTGTGCACGTGAGAGAGTGTGTGTGTGTGCACGTGAGAGAGTGTGTGTGTGTGTGCACGTGAGAGAGTGTGTGTGTGTGTGCGAGAGAGTGTGTGTGTTTGCATGCATGACAGCGAGAGTGTGTGCGCTTGAGAGTGTGTGCGCGCGCGTGAGAGAGATTGTGTGTGCACGACAGAATGTGTGCGCGTGCGCAAGAGAAAGTGTGTGCACGCATGCAAGAGAGAGCTTGTGTGGGTGCCCCCGCAAGAGAAAGTGTATGCGTGCATGCATGAGAGAGTGTGTGCGTGCACGCGCACGAGAGAGAGAGTATGTGTATGTGCATGGTAGAGTGAGAGAGAGAACGTGTGTGTGTAATTGAGAGACAGTGCGTATATGAGAGAGGATCTGTGAGAGGGAGAGTGTGTGTGTGTGTGTGTATGTGTGTGTGTGTGTGTGTGTGTGTGTGGGGTTGGGGTGGGGAGGGGGAGAGAGTGTGTGCCTCTGAGGGAGAAAGAGTGAGTGTGTTGGGGGCGGGAGAGGAGAGTGTGTGCCTCTGTGAGGGAGAGAGAATGTGTGTGCGCATGCACGAGGAGAGAGTGTGTGCATGTGGGTGCGAAAGAATGTGTGTGTGCACACGAGAGAAAGTGTGTGTGTGTGCATGCGCGCGAGAGGGACAGTGTGTGTCTGCGCATGCGCGAGAGAGGGTGTGTGCACGCACACGCAAAAGAGTGCGTGTGTGTGTTTGCTCGCACCTGAGGGAGGGTGTGTGTGTGCGCACGCATGTGAAAGAGAGTGTGCACATGCGGTTTTTTGCCTCATGCATGCTCACAGAGTGTGTGCATGAGGGAGAGAATGTATTTGTGCGTGAGAGTGTGTGTGTGTGTGTGTGTGTGTGTGTGAGAGTGTTTGCGTGTGGGTGTGTGTGCGGGAGAGAGAATGTGTTCGTACATGAGAGTGTGTGCGCATGCAGAAGAGACAGTGTGGGCGTGAGTGTGAGAGTGCGTGCACGCGCACGTGAAAGAATGTGTGTGCACACGAGTGGGACAGTGTGTGTGCACGCACGCGCATGCAAGAGAGAGCAAGAGAGTGTGTGTGTGCGCGAGAGCTAGTGTGTGTGTGTGTGTGCATGAGAACGAGTGTGTGTGTGGTTGCGTGAGAAAGAGTTTGTGCATGCGGCGTGAAAGAGCATGTGCGTGCAAGAGAGAGAATGTGTGCGTGCATGCAAGAGTGTGTGTGCATGTGTGTGCGAGAGAAAGTGTATGCATGCAAGAGTGTGTGTGTGCAAGTGAGAGGGAGTGTGTGCATGCGGCGTGAGAGAGCATGTGCATGTGTTTGTGTGTGCGTGCAAGAGAGAGAATGTGTGCGTGCATGCAAGAGTGAGTGTGTGCACGAGAGTGTGTGTGCATGTGTGTGCAAGAGAAAGTGTGTGCACGCAAGAGTGTGTGTGTGTGCAAGTGAAAGACAGTGTGTGCATGCACACACGAGAGCGTGTGTGAATGCGCGAGAGTGTGTGTTTGAATGCATGAGAGTGAGTGTGTGTGCACGCGCATGAGAGTGTGCGCGCGCGCGCGCACAGGAGGGAGTGTGTGCACGCGTGCGCGCAGGAGGGGTAGTGTGTGTGTGCGTGCAGGCGAGAGTGTGTGTGCGCACGCGCGTGGGAGAGCAAGAGAGTGTGTGTGCGCGCGCGTGCATGAGAGAGCAAGAGAGTGTGTGTGTGTGTGCGCGCGTGCATGAGAACGAGAGTGTGCACGCACGAGAAAGAGTGTGTGTGTGTGTATGTGCGTGTACAAGAGTGAGTGTGTGTGCACAACAGAGTGAGATTATGTGTGCGCGAGAGAGAGTCTATGCGTGCGGTGTGAGAGAGCGAGTGTGCGCGCGCAAGAGAGAGAGTGTATGTGGGTGCCCCCGCGAGAGAAAGTATGTGCGCACGTGCATGTGAGAGTGTGTGTGTGTGCGCGTGCATGAGAGAGAGAGACAGTATGTGTCTGTGCATGGTAGATTGAGAGAGAGAATGCGTGTGTGTGCTTGAGAGACAGTGTGTGTATGAGAGAGGATCTGTGTGTGGGAGAGTGTGTGCCTCTGTGAGGGGGAGAGAGAGATTGAATGTGTGTGTGTGTGTGTGTATGTGGGGTGTGGTTGGGGGAGAGAGTGTGTGCCTCTGAAGGAGAAAGTGTGTGTGTGTGTGTGTGTGTGTGTGTGTGTGTGTGTGTGTGTGTGTTTGGTGGAGGGAGTGGAGAGTGTGTGCCTCTGTGAGAGAGAGAGAGATTGTGTGCCTGCCTCAACCAGGATCTTGGGTTCATGTTGCACTATAGGTGACCACACTATACACTGTCACACACATGCATACATACAGACATACTCTCTCAGACACATGCACACACACACTCACAGAGATTCTCTCTTTAATACACTGTCTCTCAAGCGCGCGCACACACAAACACACACACACACACACACACACACATTCTCTCTCTCACTCTTTCTCTGTCTCCCTCACGCACATTCTCTCTTTCTCTCTTCTACATACACACGCACACACAGTGTCTCTCACCTACACACACACGAACACACATTCTCTCTCCCATACACATGCACACACTGTCTCTCCCGCAAATGCACATGGGCATGTGCGCGCGTGCGCGCGCGCACACACACACACACACACACTCGAGAATCTATGGGGTGAATTCGTATTTGCAAATACATTCTATTTTATTCACAAAGCACGTAATTTTTAGATAGTCAGTCAGTCAATGTGGCGTTTTATAAATTTCTAGTTTAAAAATAAAACCAGTATGACTCCAAACCAAAACAAAAACAGAGTCCAAACAGGGCCTCACACCTAACATGCATTTTCTGACCTAAAATGTCACCTCTTCTTTACACTGATAAAACCTTCAGTTCTCTCAGCACAGAGACTCGTAAGGAACTTGGGGATTTACATATACATATTAATCAATTAAAACCTTCTCACTGATTGAAGATTTAACAGCATCTCAAGTTTGTTTAACACATTCTGATCAGTGGTGTGACCCTTTGATCTTTTACTTATAAATTCTGTCTGTGATACTGTCTCTCTCACTAACACCTGAAGGCGTTTTCAAATAAACCTGTTAGACTCTCAACTGTTGTTGTGTGATTTCTGCCATTGTCCACTGCAGTCCAACACCAGCACTCCACCTTGAAAGTGTAAAGGCTGTAGAGATCAGGAAAGTATTATTAGTAATCACACACGCCAAAAGTGAGGTGATGCTGATTTCAGTACAGTGAAAGTACAGTGAGAAAATGTTAGAGACTTCTGTCAAGAGAATAGAATTTGTACTTTGAACTGTTCACCAATTCTGATTTTTTTTTTCATTTCAATCTTTCAGATTGGCAAACCTGGTGAGGTTGGACTTCATGGTAAAGAAGGGATTCGTGGTCTGCCAGGTGTACAGGGTCCCCGTGGTGCTAACGGAGTACAGGGCTTACAAGGAGACCGCGGACTTCCGGGCCTACCTGGGAGACAGGGTCCACCTGTAATTATGAAAACCATTTTAGGTTTCATCATACTTCAAGGCATTATCACATTTACTTAAGTTTTGAGTTTTGTTCTAGCTTTTTTCTGATCCTTCTTTTGAACTGACCTTTCCTAGGGCAAGGAGCCAACAGACCAACACATTCGACAAGTGTGCATGAGAGTAATGCAAGGTGAGAACTTCACCCTCACACTGAAATGTATTTCCATGATCTGCTATTCTGAAGTAAAATGCAGAATTTTTAAAACATAAAAAGTAACCAAATTCCAGTTAATCCACTGTGGTTCCTCACTTCAACCCTTTTTTATAACCTAACTCATCCAGACTTTAGACAGGTTAATATACCACAAATAACTTGCAATATACACAGAATGATATACGATAACTAACTTGAAATATACACAGAATGTATACCGTAACATATGAAATGTTGGCCTTTACTTCAAAGGCGATGGAGTATCAAAGTGGGGAGGTTTTGCTAAAACAGTACAAGGCACTTGTCAGACCACTGCTGGACTATTGTGAGTGGTTTTAGGCTCCTTAGGTAAGGAAAGATATAGTAGCATTGAAGGCAGTCCAGAGGAGGTTCAGTAGGCTGAAACCAGTAATGGAAGCATTGTCTTATGAGGAGAGGTTGAATAGTTTGGGCCTGTAGTCTTAGGAATATAGAAGAATCAGAGGTGACCTTTTGAAACATACAAGTTTCTTAGAGAACTTGACAAGGTAGATATGGAAAAGTTGTTGCCCCTGTGGACAAGTCTAGGGCCAGAAAGCATAATCTCAGAATAGATTAGGGTGAGATCAGTATTCTGTGCAAAACAGAATAAATTTTGAACAGATCTAGCAACTCAAGGCTGGGCATCTATGTGGCACTGTAGGCCATAAGTAGTAACACAATCTGCCAACTCATCGCCAGGCATAGTCCCACACTCGAGCATTATCATCAAGCTAGGGGATCAACTTTGGATCTCAGTGGAGAATGCAGGAAGAGTACCAGGAGCAGTACCAGACATACAAAAAATAAGGCGTCAACCTGGTGAAGCTACAAAACAGAACTACCCATGTACTTAACAGGGAAAACAGCAAGTAATAGACAGAGCTAAGCGATTCCACATCCAGCAGATCAGTTCTAAGCTAAGCTCTGCAGTCCTGCCACATGGTGCTGGGCAATTAAACAACTCACTGGAGGTGGAGCCCAGATATTCAGATCTACAAGAGTGCAAAAGATAAGGCTGAAACATTCACAGCATCTTCAGCCAGAAATGGGTGATCCAATCTCAGCTTCCACCAGAGTTCCCCAGCATTACAGGTTCCAGGGTGGAGCTGGAGGAACACCACAGGTCAGACAGCATCAGAGGAGCAGGAAAGTCGAGATTTCAGGTTTACACCCTTCATCAGGATGAGTCCAGCATCTGCAGTTCTTGCTATTTCACAGATTCCAGTCCATAGTCAATTCAGGAGCATTAAACTTTGAGTCCGATATATGACATTTCTTTAGAATTGAAGAGTCATTTCAGACTCAAAATGTTTAGCTGCTTTATCAATGACCTTTCCTCCATCAGAGCTAGGGATGTTCACTGATGACTGCACAATGTTCAGTACCATTTGCGTTTCCTCAGATAGTGAAGCAGTCCATGTCCAAATTCAGCAAGATCTAGACAATTTCCAGGTTTGCGTTCTCAAGCAACAAGTAACATTTGCACCACAAGTATCAGAAAATTACCATCTTCAATAAAAGACAATTTAACCACTGCCACTTGATGTTCAATATCATTGCCATTACTAAATCCACCACTATCAATATCCTGGGGGTTACTATTGACCAGAAACTGAACTGGACTAGCCGTACAAATAATGTGGCTACAAGAACAGGTCAGAAGCTAAGAATCCTGCAATGAGTAACACACCTCCTGATTCCTCAAAGTATATTGGTAGTACAGTGGTTAGCACTGCTGCCTCATAGCTCCAGGGACCCAGGTTCAATTCCAGCCTTGGGTGACTGTGTGGAATTTGCGCATTCTCACCGGGGGCTCTGATCTCCGCCCCAGACTAAAGAGGTGCAGGTTAGGTGGGTTGGTCATGCTAAATTGCCCTGTAGTGTCCAAAGAAGGGCAGGCTTGTTGGATTAGATATTGTTAATGCATGGTGATGGGAATAGAGTGTGGGGTTGGGTCTGAGTCTGGGTGGGATGCTGTTTGGAGGGTTGTCGCAGACTTAATGGGCTGAATAGCCTCTCTCTGCACTGTAAGGATTCAATGTTTCTATATCCACCATCCCTAAGGTATGGAATACTCCCCACTGGCCAGGATGGGTATAGCTCCAATAACATTCAAGAAGCTTGACACCATCCAGGATAAAGCAGTACTCGTGATTGGCACCACATCCATAACATTCACTCCCTCCACCCTGATGCTCAGTAGCATCTACAAGATGTACTGCAGAAATTCACCAAGTCTCCTTTGAAAGCTGTTTGCGAACCCACAACCAGTTCCATCTAGAAGGACGAGGGCAGCAGATGCATGTTCCCCTTGAAGACACTCACCATTCTGATTTGGAAATATATCGCCATTCCTTCATTGTCAATGGGATGAAATCCTGGAATTCCCTCTCTAACAGTATTTTGGATGTACCTACACCAAATAGACTGCAGTGGTTCAAGAATGCAGCTCACCACCACTTTCTCAAGGGCAATGAATGTTGGCCCAGCTAGCAATACCCACATCCCAATTAAGAAAGGAGTAGACAAAAATTTTGTAGATGTAGCATAATATGTATTTAACAAGAACTTGTCAATAGAAAAGGTGTATACTATTCAAATGGAGAGAGATCCCAGAACTCTGGGGTACATGGAATCTGGGAGCCCTGATGTATGAATCACAAACTGTTAGTATGTAGGTACAACAAGTGATTAGGCGATATATTATCCCTTTGCAGACTTCCTCTTATGTCCTCTTTACAATCTTCCTACTTGTTGTCATCAGCAAGGTTACCAACGATACCTTCAGTTCGTTCATTGAAATTGAGATAAATTATAAATAGTTGAGGCCCTAGCACTAATTCCTTCATTTATCACATTGTTTGTTACTTCCTCAAAGATTTCCAATAAATTATTCAAATGTTGGCTATCATACCTATTACAGAAATACAGCAGAGGAAGCGACAGGATTGGTAGTACAATGTTCCAGAATACGGATGCTATAGGAAGGATAGACGAGGCAAGGCCAATTTTGATCGTATTAGACAGGAAATTTCAAAAGTTGATTGGGAGAGGCTTTTTGCAAGTAAAGGAATGTCTGGCAAGTGGGAGGCTTTCAAAAGCGAGACAATGAGAGTGCAGAGTCAGCATGTTCTTATTAGTGTGGAGAGCAAGGCTAGCAGGAGTAGTGAACACTGGGTGACGAGAGATATTGAGGCTCTGGTCAAGGAAAAGAACGAGGCATACATTGAGTGTGGATAGCTGGGATCAAGTGAATTCCTTCAGGTGTATAGTGAGTGTAGGAATACACTTAAGAGGGAAATTAGGAGTGCAAAATGGGGACATGAGACAGCTTTAGCAGATAAAGGAGAATCCAAAGAGATTCTACAGGTATATTAAGGACAAAAGGGTAACTTGGCAAGAATAGAGTCCCTTAAAGATCAATGAGAATCTCTATGTGTGGAGCCATAGGAGATGGATGAGATCCTAAATGAATATTTTTCATCCGTATTTACCATAGAGAAAGACATGGAAGCTAGGGAACTCTGGGAAATAAATAATGATGTCTTGAAAGGAGTCCACATTACAGCAGAGGAGGTGCTGGAGGTCTTAAAATGCATAAAGGTAGATAAATCCCCAGGACTGGATCAAGTATATCCTAGGTAGATAAATCTCCAGGACCTGATTAAGTGTAACCCAGGATACTGTGGGAAGCTAGGGAAGAAAGTGTAGGGCCCCTAGCAGAGGTATTTGTATCTTCGACAGCCACAAGTGAGGTGCCAGAAGACTGGAAGGTGGAACCACAGACCTGTGAGCCAAAGTCAGTGATGGGCAAGTTGTTGGAGGGGATTCTGAGAAACAGGATCTGCATGCATTTGGAAAGGGGCAAGGACTGGTTAGGAATAGTCAGCATGGCTTTCTGCGTGGGAAATCATGTCTCACAAATTTGATTGAGTTTTTTGAAGAAATGATCAAGAAGATATATGAAGACTGAGTGGTGGACATTGTCTACATGGACTTTAACAAGGTGTTCAACATGGTACTGCATAGTAGACTGGTTAGTAAGGTTTGATCACATGGGATCCAGGAAGGGCTAGCCACTTGGATACAAACTTGGCTTGATGGTAGAAGATGGAGGATGGTGGTGGAGGGTTGTTATTCAGACTGGAGGCCTGTGACCAGTGGTGTGCCACAAGGATCAGTGCTGAGTCCACTATTGTTTGTCACTTTAATATAAACGATTTGCATGAGAATATAAGACACATCGTTAGCACATTCATGGATGATACCAAAATTGATGGTATAGCGGACAGTGAAGAATGTTATCTAAGAGTACAATGGGATGTCGATCAATTTGGCCAGTGTTCTGAGGAAAGCCAGATGGATTTTAATGTAAATAAATGTGACGTGTTGCATTTTGGTAAGAAAACTAGGGGAGGACTTACACAGGTAACGGTAGGGCCCTGGAGAGTGTTGCCAAACAGAGAGACCTAGGGGTGCAGATACATAGTTCCTTGAAAGTGGCATTACAGATGGACAGGGTGGTGAAGAAGGCATTTTCGTGTTTGCCTTTATCAGTCAGAGCGTTGAGTACAGGAGTTGGGGTTTCATGTTATGACTGTACAAGACATCAGTGAGGCCACATTTGGAGTATTGTGTACAAAACCGGAAAGGGTGCCAAAAAAAGATTTACAAGGATGTTACTGAGACTAGAAGGTTTGAGTTATAAGGAGAGGCTGGGACTTTTCCTGGAGCGTAAGAGCCTGAGGTGTGACCTTAGAGGTTTATAAAATCATGAGGGGCATAGATAAGTGATAGACAAGTTGGGCTGAAGTGCCTACCTCTACTTCCCAGTTCACTTTAGCCAGTTCAAGTTCATAATTGTGCTAATTTAAGTTAAAAACTTGTCTTAGACCTACCCTTTTGACCCACAAACTGAATGAAAAATTCAGTCATGTTATCAGAAACAAAAACTG